AGGAAGGAAACAATGTTACCAAAAACAAATATTTGAGTCATACTATAAGAAGGAGATAAAAACATAGACTTACTTTCCTCCTCCACTATTCAGAGCTGGGGTAGGCCTAGTAAGCAAGTCTGAAATTTGAGAGGATAACTTTGTCTTCGCTGCTGTTTGCTGTTGTACCCTTACTTCGGCTGCATCTGCCAAGTGCATCAAAGTCTTTCTTTCTGGGCTTTCTTCAAAATTCTTACAACCAATACATTTGCAATTTGAAGAACACATTATCTTTGCCTAAAAGATTTACAAAAGAAAGATTTCCAAATCAAAATAAACAAACATATTTCCTCCATCAAATCAACAGCTTGTCAAATGACTTTAGATGGAAATAACTCTTACTGACAAGCACATCAAGCACCCCACCCTTACTGCAGAAAACTGCATTTTTAAAAAATTGTAGGGCTGGGGCAACCTTGTCAACTGTAGGAATGACTCAACCTAAAAGGCTGACACACTGTATGACACACCAAGAAACCATTTATGGCAACCGCTCCTTGGAAACTCTATACAAGGTCACTATGAGTAGGAACGGACTCCACGGCACTTAACAAAAACAACAGGGTTAATTCCAGGCATGACTGTATTGCTGTATTTAAGTTTTTAAAATAAAAATAATAAACTGTATGATTTTTGGTCTGACTGTATGATTTACATGACGTTTTCAAAGCAGAATTTCAACCACATTCTCCAGAAAAAATGCCCAGACCCGTAAGTAAAGGTAACCAGTAGAGCAGGCTGGTGAAAACATGAAAGCAGACACAATCACCTCACAGTGGCCAACAATCACATACAGCAATATTTCATATTCCTTTGTTTTCTATTTTTATGCTCACAAAACAGCCTTAACACAATTTGATTTTCTATAGACCAAGTGTCCCTCAACAAGCAACTATTAGCCATGGGGACTTTGAGCAAGAAAAACCTTAAAATTTCCAGGACTGTTACCTGGAATGCAAGTCATTTTATATTCAAAATTATTTTTTAAAAAAGCTATGGTGATGATGCATGGAGGGGATTGTAACCATGGCAATGAAATGATATACGATAGGATGAATGTAAAACTTATGTTCTCCTATGTAAACTATCACATAATTCACAATAAAACATTAAAAAAAAAAAAAGCAATTTAAAAAAAACCAAAAACCCATGGAAGAAGTGAATGGTACTGTCCCTCAAATGAGAACCACAACTACAGTTTTCAATCCACTTTGATGATGGTTATGTTTTTTCTTTTGATTGTTTTTTAGAGAAAATCAATAAATGTATGCTCTAATTTACATACTTTGAGGTTTAGTGACCAAGAAGTCATGAGTTGGTAAACTAACCAATAAGACCTGAAGTTGTAATGACAAGACCAAAGAATTACTCCTGTGAACCCCTCTAGGAAGAACAGAAGACCTTTCCCAATGTGAGTCCTCAGGCTGACTGTGCAGATTTCAAACATCAAGCCAATTTTCCAGTTGTCATTCGTCTTCAAGTAAATTAATCAGGTATACCTTTGAAAGTTATATCAAAAGATGGTTGAAATATGGTACCCAACCAGCATCTCACCTCATAGCATTCACAGTAGTTTTTAAGACATCCAGATCGTTTGCAATTACATCCTTTGCTGTGACGTCGATCTGATTCCCCCTCCTTTCCTTTGCCTATTTTAGGTTTAAAGGCTTCTGGATTTCTGTCAAGACATGCCTATCAAAACAGATCACATACCAAGGGAAGTTAAATCACAATAAATTAAAATTAAACACTGTAAAGGGAATTAATTTTTTTCTCACAGAAACAACTAAGTACTTGAAATAAAAGTGAAACTAGAAAAATTTGTTGGGTTAATTCAAACCAAATAAAAAAGAATCACCTTTATTGCTTTTTGTCTTTCATTTTCATGTTCCAAATTGTTATAACAGTTAGTACAATTACAGTTGTTACAAAATTCCCCATTTGCAAAGCAATCACAATATCTGGAAAATAAAAATCAGTATAAGGTAAAAAATCATTGTCAGCATAATCAAACCTTGAAACTAATTGTAAGCACTATTGTTGTTGTTGTTAAGTGCCATCAAGTCGGTTTCAACCCACAGCGACCTTGTACAGGGTTTCCGAGGCTATAAATCTTTACGGGAGCATAAAGCCTCATTTTTCTCCCGCGGAGCAGCTGGTAGTTTCAAACTGCTAACCCTAAGGTTTGCAGCCAGATTCGTAACCACTACGCTAACAGAGCTCCTTTACATATGTTAAAATAGAGTCCTGATGTGGTGCTGCAGAATAAGCACTAGACTGCTAATTGTAAGGTGAGTGGTTTGAATCCACAAGCTACTCTTCAGAAATCCTTTATGTGGTCACATGCTTCAGAACCTACTTGACAGCACTTAATAACAATGATGACAACAACACACATAAAACATTTTAGAAATAGAGCCACCCAGTTAGACAAACTGTCAACCACACATATATACTAAGCTCAAAATTTAAGTCATTGACTCCTAGCATTTTCGCCTACAAATTTGTTCAACAAGTAACAACTGTCAACACAAGAGCATAAGCAATTCTGTGTGTATACAAATGACATTAATTCAAAATCATTAGCCACTGATTTTATGTTACTAGTAAAATCTGCTCACTTGAACTACAGCAGTGTCTCTTTTGATTCTAAACCACATTTCACTTAACAGTTTCAAGTCAAGTCTGTTAGTTCAGTCCTAATTGTAAATTAATCATCTCATAATTTTTTAAATGATTCAGAACATCACCTTGCCTAGAAGACTATATACCATATACCAAGGTCATAAGTAAGAAGAAACATTATTATTTTTAAAGGCAGACACTATGTAAGTCTGTCTCATGCTGCTGTATTCCTAATCTCTACTCCAATGTTTTATGTAGACTAAAATAATTTCTTTCTGAACATTTTCATACTACCATATGAGTTCATTTACCTGTAAATGCATTTAAATTACTTAGAAATTATCTGTTGTTTTTTAAGTTAACTCCATTTACAGTTATACTATGAGCAAACAGTAGCAAAAACACTTACAGTTTCAAACACAACGATTTTGTACAATTACAGGGCTTCCTGGGCCGACTGGCAGACTCTGATGAGATTATGCTATACAGAAACACATATAAAAGAAACACATTTCAATCAATTAAAGGTAAACATTTAAAATAGAAGTCTTCAATCTATAAACTTTTAACAAATATATCTATCTAACCACTGGACTTAGAACTGTGCAAGAGACTTGGAGTTAGAAAACAAAATGGTAAGAACATGCTTAGTAGTTCTCAAGCTGAGGGAGCTGAAGAAAAAAATTCAAGCCTCGGCTTGTAATATTAAAGGATTTTATGGGCAAAATACTGAAAGATGCAGAACCCATCAAACGAAGATAGAAGGAATACAGAGAGTCACTGTACCAAAAAGAAATGGACGACGTTCAACCATTTCTAGAGATAGCATATGATCAAGATCCAATGATTCTGAAGGAAGAAGTCCAAGGTAAGTTGGAAAAGAACAAGACACCAGAAATTGATGGATTACAAATTGAAATCTTACAATAAACGGATGCAGCACTGGAGGCACTCATCTAAGACAACTACCTGGCCAACTGACTGGAAGAGATCCATATTTGTGCCAGTTCCAAAAAGAGGTGATCCAATGGAAAGTGGAAATCATCAGACAGTATCAATAATATCACATGCAAGTAAAATTCTGCTAAAAGTTAATTCAAAAATGGCTGCAACAGTACTTTGACAGAGAAGAAAACTTCCAGATGTTCAAGCCAGATTCAAAAGAAGACTTGGAACTAGGGATATCATTGATGACATCAGATGAATCTTGGCTGAAAGCAAAGAATACCAGAAAAATGTTTACCTATGTTTTATTGACTACACAAAGGTTTTAAATTGTGAGAATCATGACAAGCTGTGGACAACATTATGGAGAATGAGTATTCCAGAAAACTAATTGTGTTCATGAGGAACCTGTACATAAATGAAGTGAAAGTTGTTCAACAGAACAAGGGAACACCAAATGGTTTAAAATTAGGAAAGGTATGTGCCAGGGCTGTATTTTTTTCACCTTACTTAATCTATATGCTGAGCACATAATCCAAGAAGCAGGATTATATGAAGAAAACCGTGGCATCAAGATAATAACTTGTGATATGCAGATGATACAACCTTACTTGCTGAAAGCAATGAAGACTAAAAAATGTTTACTGATGAAGATCAAACATCACAGCCTTTGGTATGGATTGCATCTCAAGGTAAAGAAAACAAAAGTCCTCACCACTGAACCAATAAACCAGATATTATCAGTGTTTCGTTCTGTTGTACATAGGGTCGCTATGAGTTGGTACCAACTCGATAGCACCTAACAAAAACATATAAATGGAGAAAAGCTTGAAGCCGTCAAAGACTTTGGGTCAACTATCAACACTCATGGAAGCAGCAGTCAAGAAATCAAATGACATATTGCGTTAGGCAAATTTGCTGCACAAGACCTCTTTAAAGTGTTGAAGAGCAAAGATGTCAGTTTGAGGTCTAAGGGGCACCAGACTCACGTCATGATATTTTCAATAACCTCATATGCATGCGAAAGTTGGACAGTGAATAAGGAAGACCATAGAAGAATTGACACAACTGAGTTATAGTGTTGGAAGAGAATATTTTTTAAAGTACCATGGACTGCCAAAAAGAACAAACAAATCTGTGTTGGAAGAAGTACAGCCAGAATGCTCTTTGGATGTCAGGATAGCCAGATTGTCTCTCATACTTTGGACACATTATCTAGAGGGACCAGTCATGAAGAAGGATATCATGTTTGGTACAGTGGAGGTTTGGAAAAGAGATGGATTGGCACAGTGGTGGCAGCAATGGGCTCAAGTGTAGCAATGATTATGAGGTTGATCCAGGACTGGGCAGTGTTTCATTCTGTTGGGAAAAGGATTGCTGTGAGTTGGTACCGACTGGATGCCACTTAACAACAACAACAGTAAATGTTTACTGTGCGGTTACATTTAAATTCAAAGACAAACTGTAATATAAAAAGAGGTAGGGAGCCAAGATATGGTATAATCATAATAATGAAGTTATCAATAGCTACTGAACCCTCTTCATTATGAGAAAACAAAGTTGAAATTTCCTCAAAGCTCTTGGAAGTGAATTTTAAAAGGTAGGAGGGAGAGAGGGGTATGGATTGGAGGAATTTGGGGAGTGGGCTAAGCTAATTCAAGTCACTAAGCACTGGTTCTAAACTGATATTGCAAAGATAGATAACAAAAGAAAAAAAAAAGAACAACCTGCAAACAAAAAGCAATGACATAAAAGTTTTAAAAATTAGTAACATTAGTAACATAATTATTAGTAACAGACACAAATAGGTATATGCACACCCATGTTCAATACAGCATTATAACAGCAACAAAAATATGGAAACAACCTAAGTACCCATCAATGGAGGAATGAATATACAAACTATAGCACATACACACAGTGGACAGTTAGTCAACATGGATGAACCTAGGGAACACTGTGCTGAGTAAAATAAGTCAACCACAAAAGGGCAAATATTGTATAATAGTCTTGGAAGACATCTATGCCAACTGGCATAACACAGTCCATAAAGATGATATTCTAAATCCTACTCTAGCGAGTAGCAACTCGGATCTTAAAAGCTTGCAAGGATAAGGTGTTTGACTGGTGGGTATTGGGTTCCCCTGCCTACTAATGTAATACAGACAGTTAAGTGGGACAGAAAAAGAATATTGGGGAAGGTAACTATAGAAAGTTTGTAAACCCATCTTTAGCCTATAAGTGACTTGGTTATCTAAAAGGGGACTAGTATCCAGGGAAACAGGCTTCTTGTTAAACCTTGGTGGAGTACAGAGCCTTAGGTTGAATCTTGAGCCCCGATCAGAACCTTCTGGGATGGGACATGCAGATCAACCCGGACATGCAGATCAACCCGGACATGCAGATCAACCCGGAAGGCAAGAGGAACCAAAGATACTTAAATGAAAGACTAACTGGGGGGGGGAGGGGGAAGGGATTTTTTTAAAAAAAGGCAGACTGTTTGGCTGTGACAATATCAAGCAAGTTGTTTACCCTGGAGCCATCAAGGCAAGAAAATCAAGGTAAGCGCCTTTGTAAAACTGAAACTCAAAGGGAACACACGAACAGCCTAGTACACTCGCTTGTGACCATCCTGGTCAATTTGTGAATGGAAGCGGGGGTGGGGTGGGAATGAAGCAAAGACAACATGGGTTGAGATTGGCCATATTCCACAGACGCCTGATGATCTTGAGATGAGAGAGGGAAGTGGATGGCTTGGCTGGTTTGAAGTTCAGGGAGATGTGTGAACTCCGAAGCCCATAGTACGCATTTGACCTAGCTTGGATGGCTGACCAACCAGAATTCAACCAGATGAAGATAAAGAAGTATGATACAGGGAGCAAGTGTAAATTGCTACAACCTGATCAACTGGAACTTTGCTTATGGATGAAGCTGCCTAATATTGCAACCAAATAAGGAAGGATTCTTCATATCAAGCATGTCTCCTCAGTACACTGGGTTGATAGGGACAAACCCCCTTCTAAGACTGAAACTCAAAGGGAATACATGAGTAGGCATGTAAGCTTGCAGATGACCACATTGGTCTACTGGTGAGTGGAAGAGGAGGAAAAGCAGCAATGAAGAATCGGGCTGAGTTCAACCATGGTCCATAGACTCCCATTGACCTGGAGATGAGAGACAGAAGAGGAAGGGCTGGTTGTTCCAAAGCGTGGTGAGACCTGGGGACACCTGAGCCCATGGACAAGGACATAGCCACAGAGGGCTAGAGCTGAGAATGAAGCATCCAGCTGATATGGAGTGAGAGGAGGCACATAAGAACACCCAAAGTTGCAGATAATACACATTTGACCTAGCCTCGATGGCTTGATAATCAAACTCAACTAGAAGAAGATATAAAAAAAAAAAGAAAGAAAAAGTTATCGATTGGGCTGCAAACCTTAAGGTCAGCAGTTCGAAACTACAAGATGTTACATGGGAGAAAGATGAGGCTTTCTGCTCCTGTAAAGATTTTTAGCCTCAGGAAACCTTGTACAGGGTCGCTATGAGTCGGAACTGACTCCATGGCACATCACCACCATTGTCACAAAATCACAGAAATAATTATTAAAATATAAAAATATGAAAGAAAAAAAAAGACCAGGCTTAGTGCTCAGAAAAGAGTCTGGAGGAATACAAGACTATGGCCCTAGACCACCCTTTTGGTCTGGAAAGAAACTCACCATTGTGGTCCAATTTTCAGCCAAGCAATAGATGAGTATATAGGAAGGCAACAACACTAGTAAGGAAGGCTCACCAGGAAATGCTCAATCACTCAATTATCAAAAGGGTCACATGTATCTAAAGACAAAGGTGAGAAAGGAAGAGGAGGGTGGAATGGAAATAGAAACCACAGAGAGGAAGCAGGATAACTGTTGTTGCATGGAGGGGACTGCAATCACTGAGTGAGACACAGACTATGATTTGTTGAATGTAAAACTGATGTAAATCTTCACTTGGTTCACAATAAAGAGTTAAAAAAAAAAACTGGGGGACTGTAAAGGCATGAAGTGGCTGGGTAACTTTCACAAGGGTGCTTAGCGTTAGAATGAGGGGAGTAAGAAAGAAACCCTACTGAACAGTTTGCTTCTTGTGCAGATGGGTCTGGTGATGAAGAGAATAAGATTCAATGATTCAACTGTTGAATAATTGTTATCAGGTCTAATGGCAATTGTCACAACTGTAAATGTAGAAGAGATGTGACTAAAAAGGGGAGCAGTTAATCAGTCATTTCAGGAACAGATGATCCTAGGACCATCAAGAGGGAAGAAGATGAGAGCAGCGAAGGATCTTAACCAGAAAAGTAGCAACAACAGAGATGGCGGCAGAGGCGATGGCACGGAGAGATAGAACAGCAGAGGACTAGTGGCCCATGGGCTGAGAAAAGCTGTTTCCCTGTGGGCAGGAGACTGGCTTGCAAAATGTACCCTTTAGAAACATTTTAAACAAATATATATTTTCAGTGTAGTATGTGTACATCAAAAAAAAAAAAAAAAGGTA